AAAAAATTTTTTTTTTTTTTTTTTTTTTTTTTTTTTTTTTTTTTTGTGAAGCTTTGTTTCCAGGGACTTGAGGAGTGGAGCAGGAACTAGAGCAAGAAAGAGAACCATACTAGGGAATGGAGAGATGCGATAGGCCTGCAGCCGGGTATTTGCTTACACAGTCTAATTACTCAGACTTGATATGAGTGGCCAGGAGAAGATGACTACAGCCCAGGCCACTTAAGAAGACATTTGCACCTGCAAGAGGCAGAGCAGATGCACCCTCTCCTGATATTCTAGTCCCCCATTCCCACCCACCTAGCACTGTCCACAAGATTTTATTTTTCTGAGATTGGTCTCACTTTGTCACTCAGACTAGCCTGGGACTCATTGCTCGGGCTGGCAATCCTACTGCCTCAACCTCTGAGCACTGGGATTACAGGCATGAGTCACAACACCTGGCCAAAGGAGTAGTTTTCTCTGGTGATGGGAATGCTGTGTTCACCTGTACTGTTGGGTGGAGCAGCCATGAGCCATGTGGAGCTGTCAGACAGTGACTGAAAAATGGCATCTTTGATTCTGTGTAATTAATTTAGACTTAACTAGTCAGCGCCATATCCTGTAGCACAGCTAATTCTGAGGAAGTTGCCAGAACAACTCCCCAAGAGGAAACCCGTCCCCAATGAGAGCTCAGCAGGCTGCAGGCTGCACTCCATTTCCTTTCTGCCTTCTCTACAGTTTCTGCCTCACCCTGGAACATTGTGTGCCTGCAGGCTGGCTGAGTGGCTTCCTCAGCACTGGTGCAGCTGTTTCCCCACTTAACACTGGGTCTTCTTTCCCCGGCTCATCTGAGATGCCTTTCAATCTTTAAAGAACTACAACCTACATGGCCAACCAGGGGAGAGATCCAGCTCTGAGTGTTACTTATTCATTAGGTCCAACCCAGTATTGGAAGAGCCAAGAAAAGTCAAGAAGAAAACTAAAGAAAAAGAGGAAGAAAAATACCCTGAAGAAAATAAAATGAATAGCAGGGCCTTGTGTCACGTGCCTGTAATCTCATCCCTTGGCAGACTGAGGCAAATGGATCAAGAGTTCAAGCTAGCTTGGGCTACATAGCAAGACTATTTAAAAAAAAAAACAAAAAACAAAAAACAAAACTAGTGATGAAGCCCAGCTGCCTAAAATGTGAAAAGCCAAAGCCTTGAGTGTGATCCTCAATTCAATATAAAAAGGACTGGTGGCCTCACACCAGTAATCCCAGAACTTTTGAGGCAGAGGTAGGAGTATCACACATGTTCAAGTCACGCTCAGCTAAATAGTGTGTTTGAGACCCTCTCTTAAAAAAACAAAACAAAAAACGGACAAAGGAACCAGGAAATCCAGGCCATCCTCAATGACATTGTAGGCCAGCCTGGACTACAAAACAACAGCTACAGGTAGTTACTTCAAAAAAACCAAGAGCCTATTTTGAACACAAGGAAAACACAAGAATCCAACTAGGGTTGGGGCATTGAAAGAGAAAATTGTGGAGAAAAGGTGTAACTAAGCATATGGTCTGCATGACTAATGACACTGACTAATTTGTGTGTGTGTGTGTGTGTGTGTGTGTGTGTGTGTGAGAGAGAGAGAGAGAGAGAGAGAGAGAGAGAGAATCTGAGCACAACTTTGGGTGTTGTTGCTTTGTTCTTTTTTTAAGATAGGATGTCTCAGATAGGCTAGGGGTCCCCAGGCACCCCTTGTCTCCACTTCTCCACCACTGGGATTACAAACATTAGCTACATCCTGCTTTTCAAGTAGGTTTTGGGGAATCTAACTCAGACCCTCATACTTGTGTGGCAAGCATATTACTGACTAAGCTGTCCCCTGAGCCTGCCTTTGACCGGTTCTTTGAAAACTCCAGAGTCCTGCTAGAGTTTTTGTTGTTGTTGTTTTGAATCACCTCTAGGTGACAGAACACAGAAAGGAGATAACGGCTACATTTAACTGGCCCTCCTGTTCTAACCACCTGATGGGAACAGGATCTTACCCTCCTCCATGCTGACCTCTTGTACACAGTGTCTCTGAGGTTGAAAACTCCTTCCAGAGACTACAGATCTAGGGTGGCAGGCCTTGGTCCAATAAGCAATGAATCTAGAACCTGGAAGAAGTTTAATGATGAGCCTTCCGATATAGTTCTGTCTTAGTTTATCTTCTATGGCTGTGACAAATACCATGACCAACAGCAACTGGGAGAGAAAAAGCTTTTATTTGGCTTACGTGTCCAGGGCACAGTCCATCATTGAGAGAAGTCAGGGCAGGAACCTGGAGGCAAGGACTGAAGCAGAAGCCGTGGAGGAGCGCTCCTTATTCGGCTTGCTTTCTTACAAATCTCAGAACTGCAAGCCCAGAGACAGCACCACCCACAGTGGGCTGGGACCTTCCACAACAATCATTAATCAAAATGCCCCACGGACTTGCCCACAGGCCAATCTGATGGCAGCATCTCCTCAATTAAGGTTCGATCCTCCCAAAAGACTTTAGGTGCAGTCAAGATGACAAAAAAACTAACCAGTACAAGTACTGAGGAGAAATAGTTATTAAGAATGCGCTCCTGCATCTCCTGCGGGCCGTGTGACTCTCCATGCCACAGGCAGTTCAGGCACTATTACTTTGCTTTGAATTTTTATTTATTTTTTGTGTATGGCTGTGCCTGCATGTCTGTGTTCTATGTGCTTTCCTGATGTCCTGGGAATAGAGAAGGGAGCACCACATCTCCTGGAACAGGAGTTCTAAATGCTTGTGAGCTGCCATTGGGTACTGGGAATCCAGGCCAGGTTAGTGCTCTCAACTGTTTCCCCATCATTTGTCTTTTTTTAAAAAATAAGGTGGAGAGGATTTAAGGAAGACACCCCCCCCTCCCAATGTTGACCTTTGACCTCTACATGCATGCACACATCCTGGCACTTGTATACACACACACACACACACACACACACAGACACACACACACAGAGAGACACACACAGACACACACACTCATGAAAAGGTATGAACATACCACATATGCACACAAACACAAGAAATTTAGCATGTGTATGTGTGTGCTTGTGGTAGTCAGGAGACAAAGTCAGGTGTCTTCCTCTGATAATCTCCATCTTACTTTTGGGGACAAGGCCTTTCACTGATCTGGAGCTCATAGATTGGCCAGACAGGCTAGCCAGCAAGCCTTGTGGGTCCTTCTGTCAGCCCCCAGCACTCGAACTATAGTTGGGTACCAGAACACCTGGATTTTTATGTGGGTGCTAGGATTCAAACTCAGGTCTCCAAGCTTGCACAGAAAGCACCTTACCCACCCCCTAATTTACTTGTTGTCTTTTTTTTTGTTGTTGTTGTTTTTTGTTTTTCGAGACAGGGTTTCTCTGTGGCTTTGGAGGCTGTCCTGGAACTAGCTCTTGTAGACCAGGCTGGTCTTGAACTCACAGAGATCTGCCTGCCTCTGCCTCCCAAGTGCTGGGATTAAAGGCGTGCGCTACCAACGCCCAGCTTGTTTTTATATTTTTAAGACAGGATGTCACACTATGTAAACCTGGTTGGTCTCACACTTGCCTTAATCCTCCTGCCTCAGGTTCCTGATTACTGGAATTACAGGTGTGAACCACATTTCCAGCTAGTGTGTGAGTGTGTGTGGATGTATGCTTTATTTTTGAGAAAGTCTCTCCAGATAGCCCACACTAACCACAGACTCATGATCCTCTTGCTTCCTCGGTTCTGAGCTGGTAGACATGTGTCAGCAGCCCTAGCTCAGACTGTTCATGTGTAAAGTGAAAGCCAGTGATACAACTGACCGCAGAGGTGGTATGAAGATTACAAATACATAAACATAACTCAGCGGTAAAGGCATTTGCCACCAAGCTTAAAGACCAGAGTGCAGTCCCCACTGCTCACATGGAGGGAGAGAACCAACTCCTCATAAGTTGTCCTCTGACTTCCACAGGTGTGCCATAGTGACACACCCACACCCACACACACACACACACACACACACACACACACACACACAACTGATGTAGGAACGGAAGAAATGGCTCAGTGGGTAAGAACACTGGCTGCTCTTCAGGGGAGCTGACTTAGTTCCCAGGACCCACATCAGGCAGCTCATAAACTCCAGCTCCAAGGGATCTGAAGCCCCTCTTCGGGCCTCCTTGAATACCCACAGACATGTGGTATTCACTCACACAGACACAGACATACAAACATTAAAAAAGGGGACAAATATTTTTTAAAAAATACATAAAGCATAAAAGTGTAGAATGCATCAGGGCACTGTTAGAACAAAAACTGTTACTCAGAATAAGATGTGCAAAGTGGTTCGCATCTATAATCCCAGAAGAGAACCTACTCCCACAAATTGTTCTCTGCCTTCCACAAGTACACTGTAACTGAATCCTCTAACTTCTCCAGCTTGCACATTTAGGGGAAAGCTTTCTACCATGTAGTATGGTAAACTGAGGACCAGAGAATGCAGACTTACAACACAAGACTAGAGATGTCTCAAATTCCTCTTCTTTCTTTCTTTTTTTCTTTCTTTCACATTCCTTTTAATATTATTATTGTATTTATTTATTTATTGTTTTTTGAGACAGGATTTCTCTGTGTAGCCCTGGCTGTCCTGGAACTCACTTTGTAGATCTGGTTGGCCTTGAAATCAGAAATCCACCTGCCTCTGTCATCCAAGTGCAGGGTTTAAAGGTGTTCATGACCACTGCCTGGTTTTTAACATTTTTTTATGTGTATGATTGGTTACCTGCTTATATGCCTGGTGCCTGAAGAGGTCAAAAAGGGCCTGGAACTGGAGTTACAGATGGCTATGAGCCACCATGTGCATGCTAAGAACAGAACCTGGTCCTCGGCAAGAATAGTAGGCGCTTTAATCTCTGAATCCTCTCTTCAGCCGTAGAATTCCTTTTCCTAAGGAGTTTTGGTCTTTTCCCAGAGATGGACTGACTGAGTAGTACAAGGGTCAGAGATATTAAGACTACTCTTGAGGCCCAGTTTAGTTGATCTAGATTGTTCTTGTCCCATCCTGACCTTTCACTGGACTTGGTCCTTCCTATTCTTTCTTTAGCCTGTTATGTAAAGAGAAAAGACTGAACAAACTCAGCACGCTGGGGTTTATCTGCGTACTGATTGCTTGGTCATCTCTAGGCAACAGGGTGATGGAGGGAGAAAGACAGCACATGGGGACAGGATTGTGAATTCCGCATGACCTGAGTCTTGGGATGTCAATGGAGGTCCATTCTCTGTCTTTTTTTGGGTGATGGAACTGCTGATTAGACATCTTCAAGTCAACCAAGTGGTCAGTAACAGGTTCTTGGAAATGTCTGGCTAGGTGCTCGCCGTGGCTATTTTTAACCTCTTGGACAGATGGAGACAGGAAGGGTTTCAGTTGCTGGGAGAGGAGGGGAATTGAGGGGCTTCTTTTATATGACTCTATGGATGAGGACCCCTGCACCTGGCATCCTCCTCTACCCTCCTGGACTCATGGCCAGTGCTCTGTGTCCTGCTCTGTCCCTTTCTCCCCATGGTCTTTCATCCTTGCCTCACCTTCCAGTTGCAGAAGTTTTTCTTCCTGTTCCACACACAGACTTTTTTCCTCCTCCAAGCCTCCGAAGACCAGTGAGAGTGGGGTTGGGCAGGGAGCGGTGACTTAGTTCTCCCATGGAGGAAGAGGTAGCCTTGCTGGGCTGCAATGGAGTTCTCTATAGCTTCCTCCCTGTCTGGCCTGCAGGAAGGCTCCAAACTCTCTGAAACCTCATGGGCCCTACTGTCCCTGTTTCTAGGAACAGAATTTAAGACTGAAAACCCAGGTTTGGACTTCATATACCTGGAGAAAGTAGAAGAGATGCCTGTGAAGGTCAGAGAGATTGAAAATGGTGACATGTTGACATTGCTGCCTAGAATACTAGTTCACATGGGAGTTGGAAGGGCTGGGG